TTGTTGGTTTGTGTGCTACAGAGATGCCATGTGGTTGTAATAGTCTGTTGGTGGTTTCTGACGTATGGCACCCTCCATCGAGGCATGTGATGTCCCCGGTCAACCATGTTGTAGTTGAGGCCCTTCTTGTTCTTCCTACAACATGGACAACACCAATCCAATGCTCTTCCTATTGTTCTTTTCAAACTATATATAAAGTTTAAGTATTCCTATAGGGTGACTTTGCTCACACACACTAAACAACACAATTTTTTTATCAATCAAGTCCCTGTCTACATCCTCCAATTGTACTCTTAGTGTAGGCCCAAAAGGATCTTGTTGGATGAGGCAAGAAGGTTGTGGGCCTCCTCCCATCTACTGCTTCTTAAAAAGAAACTTTAAGTCCTCTATAGGTTCAGTAGTCCGCTGTTGGTTGTTAACCTCTCCCGGTGGAGTGACAGGTTCCTCTGTCTTCTTTACCCTGGTATGAGGAATCTAAGGCTTTACCCCTTCAAGCTTTAGAGAAGTATGGGTAGTTAGCAATACTTGGTAAGGTCCTTCTCAGTTGGCCTGCAATAGCACATCCTTCCAGATCCTCAAAGAAACCCAAACTCCTTGCTGGAGAGGATGTACACCAGCATCAAGGAGCACGGTCTGGTGGGTTAATACAAACCGGTGAAGAGAAAATAAAACAGCAGACAAGAAACCAAATCCTGCTTCACAAATTCAATTCCAATTACTAACGTTTAAATACCATTCGCCGCTGATGAGGTCACTAAAATTTTACCAAACAAAATCTAACTTATCCCTGGAACTGATTTCATTTGTCAAAAGAGGACTAAAAACAAAACATCTGGCCATTTGTTCAAATGTGTTTTGTAAAGTCTGGTTAACTTGTTCAGCCTATCCACTAAACGACAGTCTGGAGCTCCAGAAGGCACGCAACTTCTTGTCCACTTAAAAATAAATAAATATAAACCAAAGTCCTGGGCCATTATCTGACCCCAAAGTCCACTTTCTCCACCTCTCCAGGTCCTGATCCTCCAGGTTGGGCACTAGGGGGTGACCTTCTAACAATTTTAAGGTTATTCTGAGCACAAAACACACACAGCAACTTGCTCAACTTGCTAGCAGTTGATTGACACCCGGGGAAGTGGATTGATAAAAGTCAGTGATAGTTTGAGGGAGGCATGTTCTGGGCACAATCTCCCATTAGGGCACATTCCAATAGCCATCTTCATCTCCAGATGCTCCCCAACCTAAAGTTAAGGGCGTTTCAGTAAGGTGGCATCTTCCTTCTAAAATCCATTAGGGTGGTCCATTCTGCTGTCGTATCCACTCTTCAGCGCCTTCTGGAAATAGGATTTGTTCCTTTTGATGGGCTTTGCACTGTACAACAGTCACCTGTATCAGAAAGTATAGAACTCCCAACAAAATTAATAGGGCTGAGGTTTATTTGATTTCAATTCCAGCTGCTGTGAACAGTCCTCGCTTTTTCCACAATGCCTGTCCCATGTGTAGCCTGTATCTGGATGACCTAAGCTGATTTTCCCTCCTTTTCCCTCCCCACGAGCGACTTTACCCCCATTTAAATCCAACATCGGTCTGGCCACTCCAGGCATCTAAGGAAGTGAGCTGCTCCCTTTTAATAAAATTTGTTTGTCTGAAAAGAAGTTACCAGACTTCTTCTGATGTTGTCACCATAGAACAACTCGGCTTTCCTCCTACAACGCCTAAATATCCTAATATATTTATAGCACAGTTTTTAAAAACGGAAATAGATTCATAACTGATTAGTTTATTGTGTTTTTAATGCTTTTGATTGATTTCTGTTGATGCTTTTATAATTTTAATATGTTGGTAACCATCCATGTAATGTGTTGAGCTGGGTGGGTATAACAACCACAAAATATTTAAATATATATTTATCAATATCTATTTATCTATCTACATCTATATCTATTTATATCTAGAGCGAGATCTAGATGATTTTTGCTTCTGTAATCGCCTTTTTCTTTATTGTGTCAAAAAAAAATTTTTAAGTCAATTTTGTTTCATTAAATAAAGGCCACAAATTTTAAAAATTATGAACTGAACAAAAGATGGTTAGCTCTTGTCAGCTGTGTTAATACCACACACTAACCCTGACGGTCTCAATCATAGTTTGTTGAATGAATCAAATCGGCTGGGGTCATGCTAAGGCAGAAGCCATGGTTTACAACCCACAAGGTCAACAAATCATATTATTCCTTTAACAAGATAATGAACTCGGCAGCAATATATCAATATGTTACCCATATACCTTCTTATATATTTTCTACACCAAGAAGATAAAATGTACTTGTGGGGCTGCAGGGATCTTATTTTCTGAGCTGAACCCCTTTTGCAGGGCATTGAAAAAGTCAAGACAACGGCTGAAACCCCATTGAATCCCCAGCTGCAGCTACCATCTTGACTTTTTTGACCTCCATGGGCACTCCTGCCTTCTTGGCTTCATGGGAAAGCACCTTTCCCCCTCATTTTGATATACATATGCAGTAAATGCCCTTCAGCCAAGATATTAGAGCACACCCTTGTTGTTCTGAGGGCTTCACCACGGCTGCCATATTGCTGAAAACCGGACTGGCTTAAGCCGAAGGCCTCGCAGGGCCTGGCCGAAGATCGACCGATCCCTTCCTGGGCTTCACTGCGCCATCGTTTAGCCCAGACTGATCAAATAAACCATGATGGGTTGCCTTCACGCATTACACCAAACCCTCGATTGAGGCACGCCTGGCCCACGCCTCGATGGAGGGTTTTCCGGAGGAGATTTGCTTGCTGGCCTCGGGTGGCAGCCTTTGCTGCAAACCGTGGTTGAGAAGCCCGCCAGGTGCAGATGGCCAGTAAACAGCGGTTTAAGCAAGCCGCAGTTTAGCGCCTTGTGAGAGCAGAGCGCTGCAGGGCCTAGCCCAGTGTCGGCTTGTCCAGGAGGCCGAACCATGGCTAGTTGAAGGGGCCTGTCAGGAACCTGAGGCGAAGAAACAAGAAAGGAAGAGAAAAGGCAGCCACCTCAGGTGACCCTCCATTTGCTTGGCCCGCCGCGTCCAGAGACCCCGGATCCCTGGCTGAGCCGCTGGGGCAGTTTGACCTTTTGCCCCACACCGCCACCAAGATGGAGGCCGAGCAGCCGCAGCTGCCCCAAGGCTAAAGGGGCAGCTCTCAAGGGGGCAGTCCCCAAACCATCCCCTGTGGGAGCCCCGGGCCTGGCTCAGCCACCCGCCAGCTCCAAGGCCTGGAGAAGCGGCTGCCAGACGTGGCAAGACCAGGCGTCCAAGCCAGGGCCCTCCTCAGGCCTGGGGAGCCATATCCTCACCTACCCCACAGGGCCCCCTGCCCATCCATGGCCAACGGGGGACTCTGGGTCAGGATCCCAACTGGATGCCCCACTGGCTCCCAGTCAG